TAGAAACAGCAAGAAGTCCATAGGGGAGTCCCATGGAAGACATGGAACTGGGGAACAGAGGCCAGCAAAAGTTGACACTGGAGAGGCAGAGCAGGGACAGAGGGCCTGTTAAAGCTCTTATGCTGAGAGGCAGTGTGTGTGTGTGTGTGGGGCTTCTCAAGTGTTTTAGGCAGAAAGTGACATGGTGTCATGCATTATGCTGGCAAAGCAGGTAGGAATGGGTGGAGGGACCAAGGTTGGGGCGGGGAGGCAGCCCTCCACCCACTGCCCGCTCTCCTCTACATAAAGTGCTTCCTGCCAACAGTGGGACAGGAACACAGGGCACTTCACGACTCTTTTATCGGAGGTGTGTTTTATTACTGCACCTGGAAGAGCCGCCCAAGGTCCTTCCTGTTGCGGTCTGTCTCACCCTGCTTTTTCCTGAAACCACAGCTCCCACTAAGAGAGGACGTCAGGATTGCCGAGCTTTGCTAGGTCACACTCAGATCACCTTGGCAACCCTCACAAGTACCCTAACATGACTTTCCTTTTGCCAGGATGTCCTCTAGATTAATGAGGTGTGCCATTAGCTTAATATCCTAATTTTTTTTTAAAGGAAACTCATTGCCATTCCCAAACTTTCTTAACCATGCCCCCATCCAGTCAGTTCCTTCCTCTTTTTAATGAATCCAAATAAATCCCATCATTAGCAAATTCCATTTTTATGGGCAAAGGGCCAACTAAACAGATGTTCATTAGATCAATAAATACATATTGAATCCTTCTGTTGTACAAGAGCTGTAAACATTACACAGGGATCTCTCTCCTTAGGAGCTTACTTGGGTGTGGCTGAGAGATTTTAAATGCATGCTTGGAGAGATAAATAGATAGATACTCACCAACCAGGATGAGTATCACAAAGGAGAGCAGGTGGCAATGCGATTACATTTCAGTGGGGTTGTGTTTGTCCCTGAGGAGGTGGGGCTTGAGCTGAGATCAGGGAATGAGCTAGGGGAAGCAAGATTCAGCAGACCAATTCTCTACAAACATGTGATTCAGTTAGGCAGGACTATGGGCCATGGTGGGTGGAGGTGTGGGGGGGTACTATGCAATCAAGATCTATACTTAGATTTTTTTTTAATTGTTATTGTTCTTTGCACTGGTTTTATTAGATGCTAACTGGTTTAGGAAAACCAGTTTTATCAGGATTTTAACTAGTTTTATCTCTTTTATCACAATTTTAAGAAGATATTTTCTAAGCTTGCTTGTATGATGGGTGGATATTTTGCCCATCAATTTTTGGGAAGCACCTTGCTCTAAGACTTCCAGTGAGTAATCAGTAGGTTTAGCCTTCCCTGATGGCTCTCTGTGATTGATGGAAACACATTTAGTGACTTACTTGAGCACACTCTTGAGACCCTGTTGGAAATTTCCATTGACAACCAGTGTATTACCCTGATATTAGAATTAATTAGAATCTAATAAAGCTTGGTCATCAATTAACCATGGAATTTTTAAAGTAATCTATCCTCAGGACAAAATGTGTAAATCTCATGAAGAATTTTCTACTACTAGACAATAAACACACAATAACCATCTTGGAAGAAATGACCTGAAGTTGGCACTTCCTTGAATTGGTGAATTCTATCAATCTTGCTCAAATGGTGACCACTCTTGAATCACATTCCCAATTTTTATCACACCCAGATATGTGTTTAATTAAATGCAGTTATACTTTATTTAAATCAAATTGTCTCTTAAAAGCTTAAATGTTGATTTTGTGCTAATGTTAGCTTTGTGCTAAAAGCTTCAATATCTGAAACTAAGAAGCTTGATATATATATATTTTAAATAGGAATTGCCAATAGGAAGTACTTTGTATTAATAAAAAAGTAGTTTTGGCATTAATAAAAAGTACTTTCTGCTAGTAGGGGCTATTATAACAGTGCCCAGTAGACCTCACTGGATTAATCCTATGCCCAACTCTTCAAAAAAAAAAACAGTCCCTTTCAATCTGGGTCCTGACAGAGATAGTCAATTGTCTTCTAATACTTTTAGTACTTCCCACAGATTCCCAACATCCCTTGTGGGTAGGAAGAGGCTGTGAAACAAGTTCTGGACATTAGGTGATGAGCAAAGCAGGGTAATTCCCATCTGGGTCCCTGATAGGACCTTCTGAGTTTGGCTTCTTTTTCTTAACATAATGTTCTCAAATTGCATCCATTATTCTGCAGATGACGTAATTTCATCTTACTTTTTGGCTGAATAAAACCATATTGTGTATATATACCACAGTTTCTTTATTCTTTGGTTGATAGTTATCTAGGCTGGTTTAGCTACTGTAAATTGTT